CATCACAATCAGCCTCTCATTTATGTCACATAATAGAATGTTCACTTTGTCTGGTTTTGTTGCAGTCTGCCCCATATCATTTAGGATAGAATAAACAATGCCCCTTGTTACTTTCAAATATTAACAAAATAAACCAGGCTGTGTTTATTAATTAATATTTATTAAAATAATGGCCTGCTCGACGTCCTCTCATCTCAAATATGCAAATCAAATCGACTTATCCTCGCGAAGGCGACGAAAATCATGATGAATTGAGCCAGGATCAGTCAGGCAATGGCATTCGAATGGAAGAATCGGATGACTATGTCAACCTTCACTTGGATCCAAATTCTTCCTCCTCATCTTCCTCCTCATCTTCCTCTTCATCTTCCTCTTCATCTTCCTCTTCATCTTCCTCTTCATCTTCCTCTTCATCTTCCTCTTCATCTTCCTCTTCATCTTCCTCCATAGTCCCCATTGATTCCAGACACACAATTGACGCAGATTACAGGTCAATCAAAGAATATCTCCAGACCAAGAACAACGCTGAAATATTTGTAATATTCAGAAATGATGCTAAACTGCTTGGTATGTCACCTGAGAACGGTTTGACAGGTGGCGGGTTACTAGTCAGGGATAGAATGTTGAAGGAAGGAAAAGGAAAAAGAGGAAGGGACGAAAGAAGTTCCGGACAAACTGCGGGGGGCCATGGCAAGGGGAAAGAGAAAGAGGAGGAGAGAGAGGAGGAGGAGAGAGAGAAGGAGAGAGAGGAGGAAGAGCAATCGTCCTGGTATATCGCCTATCCGCTTATTCCCTCTGGAAACAATATAATTCAGGATTTGCAGCCTATAGATGAATATCAAAGTAATTGCAAAGAAAAGGGTGACAACATAGATTTCGTGTCCTGCCTACCTGTAGATATCCGTTCAGTGATGACAGGATCCCTCACGCTTTTAGTTTCCTACATCTCATTTATCGGCTACTGGCTTTGGTGCCGCTCGAGATTATGGAGGAAACGCGTGGATGTAATGATAACAGTGGAGACGCCACCTTTGGTTTTAATATATATAGATAGTGGTATTTTCCCTATCTTTTTATACCGAGAGATTGAACAAGAGAATGAAAAGAAGTAATAATAAAGACATTGATAATATACAATATAGAGAATAGTTTATGTAAGCACGATAATATCTATTTAATAAACTGGCTTACATGCTATACAAGTAAATCGATACTTTGCTTTGCTCATTGAACCATGTATCATTTTCTTTGATGATTGCTTGGTAATAGTATTGTTAGTAGTATTTTGCTGGTACCATATGTTGTTACTATTGGTAACGTGTCGTATTTAGCGACAAAACCAAGCAAGCGTAATTTACAAATAGTCTCGATAAGACAAAGAGTATGCCCTGATGTGCAAGATTGTTACTGTTCGGCGTGAAAGAAACAAATTATGGCAGCGGATAATATGAAGATGTACAGGGAAGTTGGAATAATATCTCACTAATATTCACGATTTCTGTGTCGCTGACTTCCCAATTAAGACAACGTAAACTACATCGCCAAAAGAGTCTCGTGATTGTAGGGAGAGTTTAAATCAAAATGGGTATGAGCGACATATTTGCCCCCCTTACTACTATACAAGATACCACTCTTCTCCAGCGCTAAATTGGGTTTTCCAGCCAGCACAGAATGTCTCTCGAATTCTTGCCGACTTTATCTCGCGATTTGCTAAATCTCCTCGATGATGTAGAAGATTACAATGTTCTCGTACATACAGGCGAGGAACCAAATGCGAAATCGTTCAAGGCTCATTCCAATATATTGAGAGCTAGGTCACCATATTTCAGACGGGCTTTATCGAATGAATGGGTTGTTAAGGAGAACAATGTTATAGTTTACAAGAAGCCAAATATTTCGCCAGTTGTATTTGAAATTATCCTTAGGTAATTGGATATCTATCCGTTGTTTCTGCAACAAAGACGAATACGCTTTATTTAGCAACAATGAAAAACGACAAAATTCAAGTCACACACGTTGTATCCTATCTCACTATTTACATCTTCATTAATCCAAGTTCTTCTTTCTATTAGATACATATATAGTGGTAAAATTCCAATAGAGCATCAAAATATGACGGACGTTCTTGAATTGCTCGTGGCGGCAGACGAACTCATGCTCGAGGAACTATTGACCTGCGTCCAGAACTACTTGATCGAAAACCAATCGCAATGGCTTCATGACAATTTCTCTCAAGTCATTCACACAGTCTTTCATCTTCAAGCATGCAAAATGCTTCAAGATCACTTTATATATAATATCTGCCGAGATGCACAATTATTTTTTACCTCTCCTAATTTTACATCCGTTGAGGAAGATATACTGCTGGCACTTTTGAAACGAGATGATCTTGATATGGAAGAGATACAGATATGGGATTATGTACTAAAATGGGGTCGGGCGCAAACTCCTACTCTAAATGAAGATATTTCAGAATGGACTGTTGGAGACTTTGAAATGTTGGAGAAAACAGTACACAAGTGCATTTCATATATTCGTTTTTATGAAATTTCACTTTCTGATTTTTACGACAAAATCCGACCGTACAAACCAATTATACCTCATGATTTGTATGAGGATCTCGTCCGGTCTCATTACAAACCAAATGAATCCCAGCGAACTCGTCATATACTCCCTCCTCGTTTAGCAATTATAGATTCTAATGTCATAAACTCTGAGCATGTTGCTCTAATTAATTGCTGGATAGACGGAGAGAATCATAAACCAGCTTTATATCGTAAGCCTCGCTATCGATTCAAACTTCTCTATTGCGGTACTCGAGATGGATTCACCCCTGTCGAATTTCGACGTAAATGCAACAATACTGGGGCCAATGTAATAGTAGTAAAGTTAGAACAAACGGGCGAGATCATTGGAGGATACAATCCCATTGGATGGTCTAATAGAGGCAAGTATGCGGATACAGAAAAGAGCTTTGTATTCAATATGGGTGATGGAACTGGCTATGACAATATTCGATTGTCGCGTGTCAACACGAAAACGAGTCAGTCAGCAATATTTGATTTGGAGATTTACGGGCCTAATTTTGGAAGAGGAGATTTGGTAATTTACGAGAACTGTAAGGTGTGTTCCTGCCGGAAAAGTACCACCTACGAACATGAGATAATTGATCCTGGAGATTATGCATTGGCTGAATTCGAGGCGTTTCAAGTTATCACTAAATGATACGTTAAGTTTCGAATGGTCATTTCCTATTTTGTATTTGTGCTCAATAATCGCGATAATTTGACAGATTCTTTTTAAATAAAAATGTACATTAGATCTCGACTTTGTGACACGAGGCGTCCTCAGATGTACTTATCTATTCCCTTAACATCCTCCAGCTTCTCAATAAGGTACCCCGTTGCTAGTTCTCGTGAAAGCAACGGAAGGACATTCATAGCCCGCCACGACTCGCATACTTTTTCGACTTCAGCTACTGCATCTTCGCTGATACAAACACAAAATATAGCATCATACCCACCGGCTGAAATCAATCGTTTGCAATTAGAATGAGATGTCTAAACGTCGCAAGTGAGGGAACAATTTAAAAGCCTAGTTTTTAGACTGATGTTCTTACCACCAGGAACACCGGCCATGACCACACCAGCCACTTTCATGCAAGCATCGAGCAATTCTGTCTGTTCTGGCGGTTCGATTGGTACTTCTGACTCGGTTGACATTTGCCTTAGCAAATTGCGTATTTGCTAAACAGGACAGATCGTTAGAATGGGAACAACGTATCCGTTAGACTTGATAATTAATACTCACTTGGAATGTTTGGTAAATATGGTCCATGAATCGTATGACCGAGTTATGAGGACTACTATTACTGAGTTCCGACCACTATATAAACACGGTAGCTCGGTTATTAGAAATTCTTCTTATAATATGTTGTATAAAGTAAATATAGTAGTTACAAAGTATCGTGCAATCACATAACCGTCCGTGAACTACCGACCTTCTCTCCCGGTAGTTCAGAGCAACGTCTTATTCCTTCTTCATACAGTTCACTCTCAACTTCACTCATATCTTCCAAATACCTTAGCCCATCCTCTATTTTCTGGTTACAAGCTCCGAGCTCGTTCCATAATTTAGTGGCTAATCAAACAAAATGAGATACGAAGTTTGCGTGTACGGCACATATATTTGAATAAAAAATAAACCTTTTTCCGGATTAGTCTTCCGCCATGCCAATACTTTTCCAACCATCGAAGGCGTGTGTGATCCAGCATCCACATCAGCAAGCATAAGAATAAATTGAGGAGGAAGACGTGTAGGTCTAACCACGCTGTCCCACCTATAATGAATTATTATTAAAATTGGAAAACAAGTGAGGATTAAATGGCACAAGTATTTGTAGAGAACTTACTTGTTAAAGTCGGGCTCCACTATTTGGCTGAGTGTTTTAAAATTGACTATGCCCTTGAATTAATTAATCTGGTTAATCATCTTCTCTCAATGAACGCGATCCGTAAACCCAATTTTCTCACTCAATGCGTACCTCACTATGATCTTCGTTATTAACAGCAAAAGCTTCCTCGACAACACTTGTAGAAAACCTTTTATAAACATGACTACCCCAGACCGCGGCAGAAACATCAAACCCCGATCCTATCTTTCCCTGCGCAAGTCCGTGACAGATCTGTGCCGTATTATTGACCAAATGTCTACTATAATCTTCGTCATGCTCATTCTGGTGCACGACTCCGAACCGAACATATAATGCCGTAACAATAGAGGTGACCAGCGCCGCAGATGAACCGAGACCCGTTTTATGAACTTTTGATATGGGAGCGTGGAATGATGACAGTGGGTCTATAAGACGCATAGAGGCGGTAATTAGTGGAAGATGGGAGTTGACTAGCTAAACAGTAGACGGGTGATTTAGAAAAAGATTAAAAAGCCGCACGCCTGAGATGAGAATATAGTGATTTTATGATACCTGTTCCCTTAGTGAATAAAAGTCATTACTTCCCAGGATTGTAATCTCGAGTCCTCTGCTGATTATTTCAGCAAATGCGCTGCTCTCAATCCTTTGTGATATAATGCCAAGTGTATATTTTATCGCAATCCGAACAAACGTATTTCGATTGTTTTGATTTCTTTACAATAATAGCAAATAAAATTGATTAATCCTCTTTTTTTTTTTTTTTTGTCTTCCCTCTCACGACATTCTCACGACATTCTCATTATACGATACGCACTTCTGATTAAAAGATTCCAAATCCTCGACATCGTATTCCCAGACAGCCTCCTCGAACTGTGGTGATTTGACTACTACTTTGTTTGGGCATTGTCCGTCCTTAATCATGCAATAAAACCTCGAATCTGTACTAATGACAACTGCATTGAATGATCGATCAAGCACAAGGTATCCGCCGACGATAAGAACTTTCCCTGGTGCAGAAACTATTGTTAATTGTTGTTGATTTGACATGCTTTGACTGAAGGATTGGGCGATATTTCTGAAGTTTTGCGTTCCTTTATTAGTTGCACCCCGCTAAAGGTGCTCGGGCGATATTTCTGATGATGGTTGTACGATTACGATAAAGGAAAAATTTTTTTAATATTTGGTGGACTAAGCAAATTGGATGATTTTTTTTGTGAATATTTTATTTTCCTGCCCACTGGATTGAGACATATACAACTTCATCTTTATCCTTATCCCACGAACACAGTAATTTTGTCTTTCTTACAACTGTACTCATTCTTCCCTCTCTAATTATATCTATTGGATTTATTGGAGCATCCATATCTACAACAGATACAGCAAAGTAACTGTGATATTGAAGTGGATCGCCTGTAAGAACGTGACAAGAAGTAAAAGTGAATCGAGTACTTATGTCGAGTACTTATGAATGTTTTCTTATAATACCATCCAACATTTTTACAGCAAGCATCGAATTACCTGGATAGGCCAAATAATCACTTCCAAACTTGCTTCCACTAGTAATGTAATAGCCTTTCTCCCAGATATCCTTAAATACTTTATATCTGCCTTTGTCCTCATCAGACTCGGGCCACGTCCATATTAATCGACTTCTGGCTTCTTCAAGGCTAGTATAACTACAACCTTTATCATCATACCATGGAAACAAATAAGAGGATGTCTTAATCGTGACAGACGGAGAGAATCCACGAGGTGGTTCCAACTTTATATTATTTATTATGGTCACTTCTTGTTGAAATGGTGATGGAGATGATGATATCGGCGACTGATCTACTTCTTGAGTTTCATGTGAGCCTAATCTATTGCCATCTTCATCCGATTTGTTGGCTTTGGCTTTGGGTGTATGTTTGGCAATTCGTGCTTCTCGGGCTTTTAAATAGTCAACAATTTGTCCTGTCTCATCTTCCGCTTTCTCCTTGCGATACGTATCAATCTCATCATCAGTCGGACATTTGTGCGCACTGCGATCTTCAATTAACGTTATTACACCTAGTAATATATAATATCATGTTCACCAAGTTCTTAAGAAATTGTCCCTTGAAGTAAACTGTTCAAATCAAACCATGTAAAACAAGTCGAGACTACAAGGTGCTATCCTAAGCAAATAAACACACCTTTTGACAATAAAAGAGTTACTTCTTCTTGCATCAATTTCAGCGGTAACCCATAGAAACGGTTTTGCATTGGAAGTTGTGGAAGAGTACCGATGAGCGACCCAACGATATGGTATTGTGATCTGAGAGTGTGAATTGCTTTTTATGATGCCATGTTAATGTCTAAAAAAATCCACATGCAATAATTGTTCTGGTATCTTACCATCTGTATCATATACTAGTGCCTTATTATCGACAATATGCACTTTGAACGGATTTTTCAAACTCATGAATGTGGCAAAGCTTGGTGTTCGCGGATCGTCAGAAGGTTGCACAGCAAAAAGCTTAAATTTAACAACTGAACTTTGTGTGACTCTCTCCATACTTTAAATTAAAATTCTATATAGTAAGATTCTTCTTAACCATTTGAGAACAACACATCTATCATTTCATAACCAGCTTCGTCAAGTCTGTACTTTGCATAATCTGTATCATGGCGAAACCAAATAACAATCTCTCAAGTAGATAGACGGTGCTAGTTAATACACGCGATAGACACTTTATTATAATAATGTAATGTTTAATGAACTTCTATTGTTGCATTCAGACATACTCTAATAATATACTAGCGTTTTAGTAAATAAGCTTTCGCATGTACATGTAATCGAAACCGATAACTGAACATCATCGGCAACAAGTGAGGTACTACCAATCTTATGGTACTGTGTTTGATATATCTTTAATCGTTGCAGATGTTGAACATGACTCCGGGTTTAATGCTAGTGGATGAAAATAGTGCAACTCTGTTTACAACGCAAAGCTTAGACATAGATAATACACCCTTATCGATAAAATTATAAGGCTCGAAACTAATTTCATCGAAAGAAATAAACAATTATCCAGGGATGGAGTATACAAGACGATCTAGCATCGTGAGTATTTGAAAACAAGAAAAGGTCGAGTACGCGTAGAGGTAGTCGAAGGCCTTGTTGGAAAAAGCCAAATCTCAAGGTCGATATACGAACGCTCTCGCTCGTGTATTGATCCGACAGTTGTAATAATGCTTTTTGCTAAATAAAATGCTAAAAATCAGTAAGCACAAGCCTTTTTATTTTTTGAAAAATATACTGACTGTTACGGATTGTGCAGGGAAAAACGTTGATTAAAAAGAAAAGTTGAATGAACATTCTTTCGAAACAAATCACTTAACTTTCAAGACTTTTATGTTAGAGGGAATAGAGAAAAGCTAATCTACAAGAACGATAGAGCAGACGATGCAGAACATAAAGTTTCGGTTAAAATTTAATTAACTAAAAAAGGTTTTTGAAACACTATGTACAAATGGAGTGTATTACGAAAAACCGCACAAAGCCATGCAGTAATAGCGTGAGTATGAATAAACATAACGAAGAATTTTAATTACGTTATGCTTGATAATATAAGGAGCTTCTTTACTGACGGGGTAATAATTATAACAATGTACAACGCTCCGACATTATATGCGAGAGAATGTCATTAATAGCGAGGTAAATACACCTTTAAATTTCTATCGTCAAGTAAACTAACAGTTTACGGTACGTAAATTTATTTCTATTATGGATTTGGCAACGTTTCGAGTACTAAATTTGGTAAGGAAGATACGTGGGTGGTTCAAAAAGTTCTTGCCGCGGGCCTTGCATTTTACAGGCTGCCAGTGTGAGACAAATCGACACTAACCAAATAAAAACTAAAGTTTTGATCTTCAAATTTGGTTCGCTTTGAATAAGTAGTTGTTGAGATATCCTCATTTGAATCCTGTTCGTTAAAACCAATGGCTCAATTTTCGCGCAAACAATATCGTTTCTACATATTCGTCGAATGGCAAAACGGTACAGACGCTAGTACAATTTATGAAAATTTAATTATTGCTTGTGGACATGAAGCACCGTCATTACGCACAGTCCGTCACTGGGTTAAAAATTTCAATGATGGAAGAGGCCGCTTAGAAGATGAACCTCAATCTGGGAGACCTTGCGAAGCGGTGACACAAAAGAATGTTGAGAATGTCCCGCAATATTCTCAGTGAAACCCTAATAAAAACATACAAGAGTTAGCAAATGAAACAGGAATTTCAGTCGGTAGCGTCTGTACTGTTTTAAATAAAGAATTAGAGCTACATAAAATTGCTGCTAAATGGATTCCGCACGATGTGATGTTGCATCATGACAATGTTGCGCCTCACCGCACGTCTAATGTTGCGAGCGGGTAAAATTACTGCCGCATCCACCATACAGTCCAGACCTGGCTCCGTGCGACTTTTTTCTATTTCCAAAAATTAAGAAAGCTTGCTGGAAAGAAGTATAATGATATTGTAAATTTGTCTAGGGTTATTCAGGCAATTGTTTGTGGCATATCACAAGAGGAATATCACAAGTCCTTTGAAAGTTGGCGGGAGAGGCTACAAAGATGCATGGACGTAGAAGGAGACTATTTTGAAGGATTGATTTAATTGGTTTCAAATTTATTATGTAGTATCATAAAATAAAGCCAAGCGGCAAGAACTTTTTGAACCACCCACGTAGTTTAGCACTCGGGGAGATAAATTACCTCCATCCAATCTATTGCCAAATTTGGCAAAATACTTACCTAAGTGAAAAAAGGTCAAGTAGTCCTGGAAAAGAAGTCCAGCGTTACACAGGATCTGTTAAAGTTGCTCTCTCCGTGATTGCTGAAAACTTCTTATTCAAACGATGTCATTAGTTCCAGGGGTTAATAATCCAACAATCGACAACTTGGTTCAATCCTCCTTGGAAAGTGAATATGGATTCTTAAGACTTGAATGGATTCCTTACAAGGAAATCACCGACATAAAGCCAACTCAAATCGACAACGTCTACTGCGCTACTCGCAAGCAAAAATATATAACGTTGGCGTTGCTTGGAAATGATGATACATGTACACCAACAGTTGTGAGTGAGTTTGCCAGAATATACTCACTTCCAACACACATGCATAATAACAATAGCAACAACTTTAGACGATATGCAAAATGGCTGAAGGAGCGCAACAGACTCATAAAAGGATTCACCAAGTCTAATGATAATTATTACATGGTTGCCAATAACCTCTTTTACCACTGTTATTCCCGATATGGATTCTGCTCTGCATGTGGAATACTCCGATGCAGTCCCGTGTGGTGCAT